TGCTCCATGTCTTTTCATGCAGAAAAACATTCCATTATCTGGAATGTTTGTTTATCTCGTCATCAGTGGATGGACATTTGGGTTTTTTCCACTTTTTGCCTATTATCAATAACACAGCTACGAACACCCATGTACAAGTGTTTGTGCGGGCATATGTTTTCATTTCCCCTGGGTATCTACCTAGCAGCAGAATTGCTGTGTCATATAATAACTCTATGTTTAACTGTTCGAGGAACCGCCAAACTGTTTTCCAAAGCGGCTGTACCATTTTACATTCCCACTAGCATTGTATGAGGGCTCTAGTTCCTCCACATCCTCGCCTACACATGTGATTGTCTGTCTTTTTCATTATAGCTACCCTAGTGGGTTTGAAGTCTCAATGTAATTTGCATCTGCATCCCCCGATGGCTAAGGATGTCGATCGCCGTTTCATATGCTTGTTGGCCATTTGCACGTCTTCTTTGGAGGGATGTCTATTTAAACGCTCTGCCCGTGTTTTCATTGGGTTGTCTTTTTATTGTTGAGTTGTAAGAGTTCTTTATTATTCCGGATACAAGTACCTAATATGTGGTTGGTAAATTATTTTCTCATTCTGTGGATTGTCTTTTCATCTGCTTGATGGTGTCCTATGAGGCCCAAAAAGCTTTCATTTTGAAGAAATCCAACTTATCTATTTTCCTTTCTTTGCTTGTGTCATATCTAAGAGTCCAGGGTCAAATATAAGGTCATGAAGATTTATCTCTATGTTTTCTTCTAAGTTTTTTTAGTGTTAGTTTTTACATTAGGTCTTTGACCCATTTTAATTTTTGGGATATATTGAGAGAGGGTCAGTAATGGTTTTGATTGAAGAAGTGAAGGCCTGGGGTGGTCACCCTATGGGTGTGCTAGGAAAAACGAGGAAGGTGACCATGGGCTGCTGTGGTCAGGGGCGGCCAGAGGGTCACTCTCTGCACCTCATGTGGAGAAGTGAAGAGGTGTTCTGGTCTATTTAAACTGGGGACAGGAATCCAGGGATGATTCTTTTGAGTAGAGGGTGGTCATTTACTCAGAACAGACTAGGCATTGGGAGGCCAGGGGAGAAAGGGAAAGGTGCCGTGGCTCCTTCATAGTTCTTGCCAGATCCTGGCTTTGGGCTCCTGGAAAACGAAGAGGCTGGAGCCAATCAGACCTGCAGGGTCCTGGGACACAAAGAAGATACCGAGCCCATCCTCCATGGGGCAATTCAAGGCTGAGTTTTATTTTTTGAAGTGATAGGAAACTTACATAATGCTAAGATTAAGGTCGATTCTTTCTAGATTTTCTGGTTGCAGAATTCTAGAAATATTAATTAAAGCTAAGCCTTCTTTTTATTTTGGATACCCTGTTGTGCTAATAACCTCGGCTTCACTTACTCTGCCTATTGGAATACTGAACCCAGGAGTGTCTCAACCCTCCCCACCCCGAAAACATCCAGGGAGCTCAGCCCCCTGCCCCTGGTGGGGAATGCTGCCTGAGCCTCAGGAGCGCAGGGTGTCATTGAGTGTCTACCGCCCGCCCAGCACCCAGTGCAGCCCCCCTGGTGCCGCTCCCCTCACAGACACCTGCAGGAAGAGGTGGGAAACAGGCTCCCTTCCCTCTCCCACCCTTGACTCTGCCTCTCCAGATCCACAGCAGGCTGTGCAGGTGTGCACAGAGCATACCACTAAAAACTGGGCTGACTTAAGGGGAGCAAAGTGAAAGAGGAAAGTCAGGGTCGTGCCCTTGGGAGTTGGTCCTTAGAGACCAAGCAGCGCAGCCCCTGGCCTCATGGAGCCTGGCTTTGAGGAGCAGCTCATCTTCTCAGTGTGGTTCTGTCCCTACTGCAGGACTAAGCCATTCTTAATTATGGCTGAAGGGGAGATGTGGGATCTTCTCACCCCCTGGAGCCATGCCTGTGTTAGTCACTAGGGCAAGAGTAACAAACACCACAGATTGAGTGGCTTAAACAACAGCAATTACTGTCTCGGAGTTCTAGAGGCTGGAAGTCCAAGATCAAGGTGTTGGCAGGTTTAATCCCTTATGAGGCATCTCTCCTTTGTATGCAGATGGCCATCTTCTCCTTGTGTCCTCATATGGCCTCCCTTCCCTCTGTTTGTGTCTGTGTCCTCATCTCCCCTTCTTTTCTTTCTTTTCTTTTCTTTTTTTTTTTTTTTTGAGATGGAGTCTCACTGTGTCACCCAAGCTGGAGTGCAATAGTATGATTTCAGCTCACTGCAACCTCTGCCTCCCGGGTTCAAATGATTCTCCTGCCCCAGGCTCCTGAGTAGCTGAGATTATAGGCATGCACCACCATGCCTGGCTCATTTTTGTATTTTTAATAGAGACAGTGTTTCACCATGTTGGTCAGGCTGGTCTCAAACTCCTGACCTCATGATCCACCTGCCTCAGCCTCCTAAAGTGCTGGGATTACACGTGTGAGCCACCGTGCCCAGCCTCATCTCCCTTCTTATAATGACACTAGTCATACCGGATTAGGGTCCATCCCAATGACCTCATTTTACTTTAATCCCCTCTTTAAAGGCCCTATGGCCACACACAGTCATGTTCTCATGTATAGCGTGTTAGGACACCAACATATGAATTTTAGGGGACACAATTTAGCCCATGACACTGCCTTTCTCCTATTATTGGAGGCTTCATCTATTTTCAGCTTGAAGGAGCCTTAGCCCTAGCAGGATCTGCCCAGAGACAGGAGGACGGTGGCAGCTTAGAGGAGGGGGCTGGAGTGGGAATGGGAATTTGGGGGGTCCAGGGTTTACATGGGAGGAGTTACTTTGTGCTGGGTAGATGGTGGGGGCCATGCCTGGCTAGACAGGTGGAGAGCATGGCCTTAGTGGGGCCTTTGTAGGAAGGGGTTCCTCTAGGCATCCTGTATTCCCCCCCTCCACTGCCCTTTTCTTCCCCACGGGTGGGCAGTGATGGCTGAGCTGGGATGCTGGGTGGGCCCTGTGTCCCCATAGGCTTCCTGGAGAAAAACCGAGATGTGCTGAGCACAGATATCCTCACCGTGGTTTACTCCTCCAAAAACAAGTTTCTGAGGGAGCTATTCAACCTGGAGTCAGCAGAGACCAGGCTGGGCCACGGGACCATCCGCCAGGCAAAGGCAGGAAACCATCTTTTCAAGGTGGGCTCCCAGGCACCCTCCTGGGTCT